TTATTTAATACAAAATAAAGTAATATTTGCACTTATGATGAATTAATATTAACTATGGAAAAAGTCCTCTTAATATTATATGTAATTAACTCCTTTAGTACCCGACATATTGAAAAATTTTACAATATTTATTTGTCACCTTATAATTACGAATTTGTGATTCAGCAATCGATTTCTATTACTGATTAAATAACTCTAAAAAATTTTAAATGCCACTTAAAGCCTTTGCCACTAATTAGATAAAGCTACCAAAAATAATCTCTGTCTAATCTACGAAAATCTTAATAGCTAGCGTCACAGTTAGTGTGATACAAATTAGCTAGGCCGAGCATCTGCATAACTATCAGTGCCGACATCTAAAAAAGTTTATAGTTACAATAAAAAAGCCATTATTGGTTATCAGGCATAAACAGTTAACAGTTTTAAGCTTTCCAGCTCAATCCGTTGACTACTAATTCGAATTATTTATTTTTTGTATAAGTTGATTACATTTTATTGTCCAACGAGCTACACAAAAGCTAAAAGCGCTTCATCATAGTTCTTACTGTTCCTAAATAGTATACATATATAATATGTACGTTATATGTGTATGTCTACTGTGCCGAACTGTCTCGCCGTTTGCATTCAAAATAAATTAGTATCTTTTATCTTGTCGCATATAAATCAATGTTGACGGGACCAGAGTCATAAATACATATGTTGAAATTCTTTAAATTAACCAGAGAATGACTTTGCGAAGTATTTAAACTAAAGGAGAGGCGTATTTTCATTTTCTTCAGAAAAGTTAATTATTGTTGTATAGCCCATTCGACACTTTTGATTTTATTGATTTTTACAGCACAAACCAGTGTTGTCTTGCATCAAACAGAACTAGATGCAGACTTAGAAAATGGTGCCGAAGAATTAAAATAAAAAATAAATAAAACAGCAGCAGGTGTCTAATTCGAAGAGTTTTACAACCTATAATTTAGATGAATAAATTATAGATATGTACATAATAATGCAGATATGCTGATTAGCCGGTTTAAGGCCGAGGAATTTCCATTATATGTATATATTATATTATATATGGTTGGGTATTTGTATATAATGATACAGCAGAGAAATTTGATTTATTTTATGTGAAATGCCATAAAGCCCATAAAAACACGTCTAGTTGTTTTTGTTTTCATTTTTGAACACAGAAATATTTCAGCTCATACATATAAATATCGCAATTATAAACCGAATGTCACATACAAATTACAACAAAAATTAAAGCTGCTCATAGTTAACGGTTCCGAAGAAAAGAGTGAAAATGGCTTACAAATTATGTGTAAATATCAACCAGGCGCGGCAAAGGGCACTTTGTTATTGTGTGGGTGCAATTAAAATTTGGTGCTGTTGTTGGTGAAACCGTTTAGATGGGCGCAACCGCGGCATTTGCATACGACACAATTGAGGGCAAAAATCAAACAGACAATGGTAATCGATTTGAATAAATACTCCCAGACAAACACTTGTATATATTTATGTATATACAGGCAAACACGTGTATATTATAATGTGTGTATCACCATATCATATGGAGCAGTAGCCTGTGCTGACTGTCAAACAGCTGGTATTCGTCGGTGTATTACAAAAAAGCTCCAAATCATTGTGTACAAACTAAATTAAAAATCATTTAACAAGGGGGACGCGCCTCAATTGCTGCTGGAACGGTCGCGTATTTGTGGCTACAAGTATATATTTATTGGACCCCCGACTGCGATGCAGCAGAGGAAAATTAAATAAATTTCAATATGTTGTAGCATGTATGTTATTCTAACAAACAAAAATCATAACAAAACAAGAAATGCAAACACCGAATTGTTTAATAATATTTACAATGCTATCAATAATTTGAAAATGTATTTCCAATTTTCAAACCTTGTTAACAAGGCGTTGCATTGATGCCTATTCCATTTGTGAGACCAGCAGGAAATCGATCTTAAAGTTTATATATTAGTGCTGCCATTGGTATAAATATTTGTGAGCAGAAATGATTCTATTTCTCAATAACATTGAACAAAATAATATATATTATATAAAGGTAGGTAGGAGGGTGATTGCTCTAACCAATAAATAGCACTACTAGCTCCAAATTTTTTTCTCTCAAGTTGGTACATCTGTCGTGTCACATGAAAAGTTACAAGTCATTAATTCTTTGTTTACAAGCCATTTGAAGTTGACGTGTCAAAGTACTTTTTTAATATGAAAAATATTGAATATCGCGCAGTGATTAGATTCAATCAACTCTGAATATTATTGCAGCCTTTTGGCTCAGGTGGATGAAAAAATTCGTGAGAAAAGCTGTTTTGCAGCGCAAAAAAAAAATGTTTCATCAAGACAATTCACCTACCCACAAAAGTGTCTTAACAAGGACAAAATTCAATGAATTAGAGTGCTAGAGAATTGCTCCATCGTATTCGCCAGAACCTGAATCTCTTCAGAAACCTGAAACAATTCTTTCGTGGGAAACGTTTTTCTTTGAATAAAGAAGCTATTACAGCCGTAGACGGGTATTTTGCAGAGCTTCCGGAAAGTCATTTAAGGGATGGCGTAAAGTTATAAAAGGATCATTGGAATATATGTACTGGAGTTAAGAAAGATTATATTGACTAAAGAAATATATTTCGTACAAAAAACATTATATTTTCATAACTAGCGCAGAAACTTTTCAACCAACCTATATACTTATCCTAAATTGAATATTTGCTGATTGTCTTTGTTTAATCCATCCAACAAATATAGCAAATAGTATTTGAAGTAACCGCTGGTGCGCTTTCAAATCTTTACGGTTTGCTAATGAGAGTGCACTATGCTGAGAGTTTTGGAATCACCACAGAAAGTTTCAAAACAATGTATCATTTCTGTCTGATACTTGAAGTTGTCTGCCACAAATTTTTCGTTATTTAAAACTAAAACAACATAATATAATAATAAAATTACTGTAGTATATTATAGTATGTATAAAACTTTTTACTTTTCAATCACTACAGCTTATATCTTATCCGAAAATGTTTGAATAACTGCTCTCTTAGTTGGTTATGTTGAGGGCTGTACTTTTTTAGGTATATTAGTGCTTAGTTGTGTCTTAATTAACCCTTTGAGCGTAACTTAATCGGATTGTTATATATAGATGTTGATGACGTAATATTTTTACTGCTAAAGTTCTTACAATCTGGTAACTAGCTGTATTGCAAATAAAGTTTTATACGCCTCTTAGGAAAGTTAAATGTGGTCAGGTTAGTTACCATTAGACGAAGGTCTCTTTAAAGAAAGCGTGTAGGTAATGGCTTAGCTTTGGCGGTTGACATAAACTGAAAGCAAAGCTTTCAAGGAGTAAAAGCGTTTACTCTTAAACCTTAAATGGCCTAGTGTCTACAATGCAAACACGGTCAATATTCAATTAAGCTATGAAAATTTCATTATATACATAAAAGTAACAAAGGTTGGAAATATTTGTTGGTATGTTCAACAAAATATGAAATATTTTAATTCAATGAATTTTTTTTTCTGGATTTTTTGTTAAAAGGCACTATGGATATGTATCCATATATTTATTTTATATTTGAATATTATAAAAGTTTGATTAAACAAGAAAAAATAAGTAAACCTCTGTTACCTGAAGCTATAATACCATTCACAATTAAAACAGTTTTCCACACAAGAATTTAATTTCGATTATTCAGTTTGTATGGCAGCTATATACTATAGTGGTTCGATCTGAAATATTCGTTCGGAGACCGTTGTCTTAGATAATAATCAATGCCGAATTTCATGAAGATACCTTGGCAAATAAAAACGTTTTTCATACAAGAACTTAATTCTGATAATTCAGTTTGCATGGCAGCCATGTGCTACAGTAGTCCAATCTAAATTATTTCTTCGGAGATTGTGACGTTGTCATTGATAATAATCCATGCTAAATTTCGTGTTGATATCTTGTCAAATTAAGTTTTTATAAAGGGCATATATTTGATCGTTCAGTTTGCATGGCGGCTATATGCTAAAGTGGTCCGATATCGGCGGTTCCGACAAATGAGTAGCTTCTTGTTGTTCATGGCAAAATTTATATACCTTTTTCAGGGTATAAAAATTACGACTAATAAAATATACCTATTTGGATATGAAAGTTAAAAAACTGTTAAGTATCGACAGGTTGAAGGAAGAACATTTTATTTTTTTCAATAAATATTAATTTAAGTTGTTTTTGTATTGTACACCATTATTCTCTTAATACTGATGATTAATTTTTTCTCACATTTCATTCCATTTAGACTACGGAGAGAGGCATGAATATATAATATAATATTTACATTTTTTTGTAAACTCAAGTGCCCCCTACAGTTCACGCTGTGTTTAATGACATCCATTGTCTGTATGCTAATGACGTTTTAATTTCGGCGTAATTGTTGTGACACGCTGCCGCAGTCGGCATTATTTCTTTTGGTTTAATCGATTTCTATTTGATTGCAATGAGCATAATAATTACTGGCGTGGCAAGTTGAAATTTATTGTGGCACAAATTGGCGGTTGATTGTGGAGTGGTATTCACTGATAAATTCAAAGAGAGAGAAGTGAAGAAAAATGTCAAGGCAAGTGCTAATTGACAATGATATTGACTTAATTAATGGTTATTATTTTAAGTTACTTTAAAGAAGATGAAATACGATATATTAATATCAAGTTGCAGTTTCCATTACTTAATGTCTATGGATCTGCAATAAAATAATGCGACGTATTTTCATTAATGAAATTTTCTATTAAAGAAAATTATCAGATCATCACAACAATATAAAATGTGTACCGTCAAAGGCCACGTTCAGATAATAACAGAAACAAAATTTCAAATCATTCAAAATCTCTCTTTGCTTACTAGAGGTTCAATCTGTTAATATATATTTTCAAATCCAAATGTAAATAATATTTATTAACAACTAAACTAAAGACTCATTTTACTCTCTCTTTCTTTCCAGCTTCCTGAAAATGTATTAGAACCGAGTAATTAAACTCAAAACAGTGTTTAGTGAAACTGATCGACGAGTGCAATCGACAGTGCAAAAATTTGTGTAAAAAACTAGTAAAGTTCGAAGCAGCGAAAGAAATACAAAACGCGTGCCACAATGGTGGCGCGTTGCTCTTCCGAGCTGCAGCAGCAGCGGGGGCATTCGCATAACAGAACAACACGCGATTTCGATACAATGCCCCGAATAAACCCGCGTACTTCGTCCAATCGCTCAAAAAATATCGAATCGCATTTCTTCCATACGCCACCTTCATTACCTCGCTTCTTCATGTTGGCCATCATTATCAGCGCGCTGCTCATGCATATTTCTAATACGGAAGCGCATATGACCGCAACTGCCAACGGCGAAGGCATGTCGCATGCGGTTGGTATTTCGGCAGCAAATGCTGCGCGCATGTTAGCTGGTAGCGGTGGCACAGCCGGCAGTGAGTACTCCCTTGTACTGCCACATGATACCTATCCCGGATTTAGTATTAAGCGATTCAAAACAATGCCAGTGAATGATTCGAACTCAGCGATGGCAAAAACTTCCTCGTCGGTATCGACATCTGTTGGAGCTTATCATATGCTTGCCGGTGATTACTCCAAATATTTTACAGTACTTGACGATGGTGTGGTTATGACTACATCAGATATTTCCCCACTAGTTAATCGTCCGGTGAATCTCGTTGTGGTCGAGGAGACACCTAACGCCACCAATACACATAATCTGCAGTTGTTTGTTATGCATCGCAGTGATATGTTGCGATTCCCCGGCACTATGCTAGATGCAAGTGGGGAGGTGCGTGAGAATCGCCCCACAGGCACACGTGTACGCGGCATACCATTAATGCAAGCGCTAAGTGGAGATGCAGCTGTTGAAAATAATACCGGTGCTTCTAAGAAGGTGCGTTACACCATCATTGACGGCAATGATGATGAGGCATTTGCACTGCAGACGCGTAAATCTACTAAAGAAAGCGATATGAATGTAGAATCCATTACGGTCGATAGTGATGGTGAAACCGGTGTGTGGTTGGTCACCAATCGACCATTGGATCGTGAAACGAAAGCGCACTATGACTTATCGGTACAGGCCTCAGACATAGATGAACTCGATAAAATCATCTCGAAAATTCAGGTGACTGTATTGGACGAAAATGATAACCACCCTATATTTAAATCCACCGAATACAAATTCGCTATTGCTGGTCAGAAGAGCCCTAGCTTGGAGGGCAACGCAACAACCACTTGGAAACGGTTCAGTATACTGGGTAAGGTCGAAGCAACTGACGCGGATGGAGATAAGATTGCCTATAGGCTAAGTGCGCCTAGTAATATTGTCATCATTGTGCCCCAAACTGGCGAAATAATGTTAGCTGATCAACCTCAAACTTCCGAATTGCTGATCGAAGTAGAAGCACACGACTTACGCTATCCCAGTTTGATGAGCAAGCAATCAGCTAAAGTATTGCTTGAGTTTCTAGCGCCAGAACCGGTTTCTTTCATAATGCAGCACTTGGAGCACGATGCTATCAATGAGCACTCACATCATCGCGAGAAACGTCGGGTAACGCGCGCGGTACGCCCGACTAAACGCATCGAGTTTACTGAAGCCGATGGCGATACCGAAGGCAAATCCGTCTTCCAGTTGGAGAAAGAGACCGATAAGGAAACTTTCAAAATACGCGACGACAATCCGTGGGTGACTGTCGAAACAAATGGCGCGGTGCGTGTGAAAAAGAAGTGGGACTATGAAGAGCTGGGTCCAGAGAAAACTATCGATTTTTGGGTGATCATCACCAACACTGGACAACATGGTGAGTGTTACTAATCGTCACTGTTATCAACCTTCATTATTGTAAACTATTGCTTTTGCGAACACTTTATCAGCAACGGACACATACTCGTCTGTCGCATGTGAATATTCTTAATTTAAAATTGTTTTTTATATATGTACATGAGTTTTTACATATGTATTATATATATAGTAAGCGCCTGTCCTTAAAAAAATAGGTTCACTCAAGGCTTTTTATTTCCGCTACCATTTCTTCGGCTATTTCTCCTGCTTTTGTCATGTCCTTCCATCGCAGCCTGCATTTCAACTACAGACATTTCATGGAGGTAAACAAAACTCGTTGTTCGTCTGAAGGAACGCAATGGCAGTGAAATAAAAACAAACGTCATTATAGAGAGGGAAAACGTTCAACAAAATACAGACAGCTTTGACAGAACAGCCCATAAAATAGTAAAGCTGACAAAATGGTAATAATTGAAGAAAGGACAAAGAGAGATAATTTCACGTTTGCACATGCGCTAAAATTTTGCGGCGAAAACAAAGGAAATGTGATGTGGTGAAAATCGTTCGCAGAAATTTTGAAAGAGCGACAAAGCGAAATTTATATGAGAGTTACTTGCGCTCTCTGATGAATATTTACGTAGAAAAATACACATATCTAGAGAGATTGCGAGAGAGAGAGTAAAAGTAAACTCACAAATAGTTTTCACTCAATTATCTGCAGTACTCCGCACTCAATCATATTTCGGGTATCTAATAACCTTGTGGGCAGACCAACGCACCCTCTAAGGTACTATGAAGAGCTTCTCTCTAGAGAAGCACGTTTCTCTCGCACACTAAGTCATTTGCTCACATTTACAATTCCACTCACAGCCACCCTCTACATATGTACAATTACATAGAAATTTATATATACATAAATATGCTGATTTTAGTACTATCTGTTTGTTTATAGTATCTTGATCTTAGAATTTTTTAGTTTCTGTGATCTATTTTGCATATTTGTTTCATTAAATCCTTCTCGCATATAATTTTAAACATAACGGTATGTAAGTATATAGGGGTTTTGAAAAGCGTGACAGGGCACCTCGAGAGCCAATAGTTGATTTCTAGAAATCTGTATTGCCAGTAATATTTCCAGTGTAGTCTGGATAATGCATACAAGTATGTTTCGCATTAGTTTCCTAAATATATATATTGACATCCATTGGTGTAAATAAACTTTCATTTGATTAAATAATTTTGAATTCTTATAAAGATAAATTGCAGAGTATTATTCTAGGATATTTTTGTAAACTATGTTAAAAGGTTTTCTGTCCGGGCACTGGGCACACGTGAATAGCATGAACATATAGTACACCGTGAGAAGAGAAAATTTTGGCTTTTCGAAATGCACCTCTGCCACCTGTAATGACCAGATGCTTTATTTATAGTAGCAGCCAAGTTGAACTTCAAAGGGCACTGAACCCTTTTTAATTGAAATGGAATGTCAATGGGAATGATATATGGTATATACATATGTATAGATAACATGGATACGCGTACGCTTTCGACTTTAGACAACAAAATTGTGGAATCCTATCTTGATGACGAAAACTGCAAAGACACTTACTAACATACACATACACATGTATATGGCTGTGTATTTTGTCACTGACGGCAGCTCCTAGCTTCAAAATTAAGAGCACAATAAGATCACTCGCCATCAGAGCATTTAACAGCATAAGCACAACAATTTCGAAATTCGAAGGAAAATATTTTTATTTGAAGGCTAATATCGAAAAAAGAGAATTTACTACTTTTACTTATGCTATAATTTATGACATAATCTTTTCTGCTCCAACACGCAGAAAAAGATCGATCATTAAATGCTTAAAGTCGATTAACAATTTCAGTTCAGTCTACTTTGCCACTACCGACAACTATCAGCAAATGCTTACCATCTATAGGATATATGCGTATACGTAGAGCTTATTGCTTCTTCACGTTTACATGTGGCCTATATGTTGACTTCTCGCGTTTAACTGTAACAACATTAACAAAGGCATTTTCGTGCTAAAATGTCAGACTTTTGAACTTAGCAACTGGTGCAGGTACAAGCCCTACCAATGCGCAGTGTTTTATCTACCTGCGAATACTTATACAACTAGTATTACAGAGATCTAGTTCCACAAACAATCTATACACCAGCATCTTAGATTTGTGTGTGAGTGTTTGCGTAGCACTCAACTTACGAGTACTTGGCCTAAATTTACAGCCGTCTTGGGTCTCATATTCAACCATTCGCACATGACCCAGTGTACAATAGCTTCTGTAGTCAACTCTACCATCAGCCACCCGCACATTTCTCACCTGCTTCACTTTAGTTTCGTGCGTACGTTGTGAATTTGAATTTGTATGTGTGAGTGTTCATTTCTTTCCTTTTTACTTGAGCAATTTTTACTATTTGTGCTAACATGTTTACTTTGCTTAGTACTATCAGAATAACTAGAAAATATACTCGGTGTTAGTTGTAGTGCAACGTGTTTCACTTTTCATGTACACAATAATGCCGTTAAAATGCTTTGAACTACTCAACGTAACCGGGTTTATGCTTATGAGTCCTTCACAAAAAAACTGAAACTCTGTTCTGTTGTGCAAAATCGTAACAAAACAAAATCGTATACTATGTATGGTATTCACAAGCGCAGCAAGCAAGGCATTTGTGCTTTTTGCTTCAGAATTTCTTGTGCAAAAATTAGCTTAGTGCAAAAGAGCAAATGTGTAAATGTAAAATGGATACAATTTACGCTTGTATTTTTCCTGATGCTTTTAAAGTTAAGGCTTCAGTTTTTTTAAATTTTGTTTTAGCTTTTTTGTATTGTTGTAAGAATTTCCATTTCCTACCGGATGTGCCCTCTTCAGTTACAGTTTAATGCAAATATTTTTCTTTGAAATATCGAAAGCTTAAGAACCGATACTAGTGGCTCGCTCATTTAACAACTTGGCCAACCGAAAACCAATAAAGATAACTTTAAATTGATAAAACAGAAAAATTTACCCAAATATTATTCACAGCGGCATTAAGAACATCGTATTCTCGAATGAGAGGTTCGTCACAAAATACTCACAGGTGCTACGTCATGCTTAACTGAAATTGGCCACACAAACCCTGACGTACCGGAAAATTTTAATGAAATCTGTGTAAAAAGTTCTCTCACAGTTGGGGGTTATTATGTGTTTTCAATGAAATTATTTGCTAACCACAGATGTTTCACGAAGCCTTTAATGAAGGTCGTGAGATCATAAAAGACTTATCTTATGCGAGTGTTCCAGCCGTATCTTGTAACGATGATAATATCAAAAGATTTAATAAAAATTATGAAAACGGTATACATAGCTTTGTTTTTGGGTAGATTCAGATTCAGTTAGGATTCTCTTTGCGGAAATCATGTAAATACATATGCACTTCTTTTTATGCGTTAGCTAAACTTTCCTACATTATTTAATCCAATTTTAAAAGGAACGCCCAACGCGATACGGCTTCTGTCAATACTATTTTTACGAGTGAATACGTACCTACAGATATTTATGTTCTGAAATAGCTGCCCGTAGCAGTTTTACATATGTTTGTATTACTAGTAACCATAAACATCTGGAATAGCTTCGCCTGAAGGCCTCTTTGGCTGTTATGGCAATGAGAATCGTCCACACCCCTTTTTGACTCACTTTACCAACTAGAAGTATTTTGATATGAAATCAAGACACATAGGCATAACCAGCTTTACCAAGACTTTAAATGAAATATTCAGTTTCCGGTTAATCTAATCTTCCGGGTAATGTCATCACGAGTTTGGTGAAGGAAAACAATTTTTTTTTGGTTTCGCAAGTTCTGTGTGTTTGGAAAATGGTTTAGTACATGCTCCCATTCGATTTTTTCAGTAATTTTCCGCTGAATGAATGATGTCTGACAATATTTTCCTCATTGCAATGAATACCAACCTTAAGTAGTCTGTTGGTGACATTTGTACTTTGGTTGAATATACTTTATCAGTTGGATTTCGGCACAAGTCCTTAGCTGGCGACCACGAGCTATTGCGATTCGACAGCTCCGCCAAAATCTGTCTTCCATAAATTATAATGCTGCTTCGCAATCAGTGAGTTCGCCCTTCATGATTTTTGTTTTAATTTTCCTCACTTTTTCATATTTAATGTTTGCTTGCTTGTATCCATTAGGTTATGCTGAGCCTGCAGCGTACACTGCACTTGTCCGCTTGCATTACAGCCATTTATTTTGTGCCCTCCCATTTTTTATTTGATTTTGTATACTCTTCGGCTATTTTGGTTGCTGTTGACCATTTCAACGTCTGGTTTGTTGAACCCTTTTTGTGGTTTCCGAACGAAACACGTTCTCGCCTTAATGTCCACCATGGTTATTTCATCGCATTCAACCAGTCGGCAGCTAAATAAAATGCGACAGCAATGGACAAATATATAAAGGAACGACGTTTTCTTAAATATTGAATGAACTGACTTCAGAAAGCAGCAACCTTATGTATTTTTCCTGGGTGGTAATAACTTGAACGACCAGACCGATGTTTGTGATCCCTGATTTGTTGAATTCGCTTCATTCTCGAATAGCTGAATAAGCATTAAAATATCGGAAAGATTCCTCTCAAAAAGTGTATCTAGAAATATATCAAAATACATTTGGAATCATCTGTAAGAATGTCGTTTGGTCGGTATAACACTTCTTTATAGAGAATTTGTCGTTATAGAGATTTTAAAAATGCTTGCCATCTCACTCAAAATTAGATCTAATCATATTACGAAATTCAGGTGAGAGAAACATTTATACAAGTATTTTTGAAAATAATCTAGTTATATAGAGTTGCCACCTTTCAAAACAAATAAAACCGAGAAAAGATTATAGTACTAAGAAATTTAAGAAAGCTTTTCAAGCTTTATTTGTAGTCTAATTTAAAAAAAGACTTTAAAAAATTTGACATAAAAATAATATATTTAGTAGAAATTATAAATTGT